CTTTTTATATATATATATATATATATATATATATATATATATATATATATATATATATATATTCACCGAGCCAGTTAATTTAATATTCACTTATCTTTTACAGTTTCTATGAATTATATCCACTTTGCAGGAGATTTCATTGTAAAATTTCATTTATTTCCAGACATTATATATTGTTTATAACCCCTTTTTTGTTTTTTGTTTTTTTATTATTATTACTATTATTATTATTATTATTATTATTTCTTTTGAGTTTTGTTGAATACGCATTTCTTTCTGGCTTTCAAACCTGTGACCTAAGATCAGAAATGGCGTCATGAATTTTTCTACTGAGCATTTTTGTATAAATTAACCATTTTTTTTTTTATAAATAAACACATTTTACATACATAAAGCTCTTCGCAATGTGTGAGCCGTACTTGTAAATAAAATATTTTATATTCCTTTAAGGCATGGGATACAAAGAATTCCTTTCCATACATTTATCGGAAACTTTTCCAATCAATCCTAGTGCTCCAACTACAACTGGAATTATTGATGCCCTCATCTGCCACATTTCTTTTTAGATTTCCTATTGATGATCCTTGTATTTTGATAGATATTCAGAGTTATATTACAATCTGCAAGGACTGCCATGTCCATAAGAAAGCAGATTCTATTTTTGTAGTCTTTGACTACGACGGATGGGCGATTAGCTTTGACTGTTCTGTCTGTGTTGATTGTAAAGTTCCATAAAATTGTCACGGGTCCTGTCTCTCTAACCCTGTCAGAATGATAATCATACCAGTGTCTTGCAGTTTCCTTGCCGCAAAATTTTCATATTTTCCAGTGCAGATACTAACCTATTCTGTCATGACGAGTTTTATATTCAGCGATTTCTAAACCCGCGTAATCTGATATAAAATTCTCAACCGTTTCTGGAAATTATTAAAAATAGCAGATGTTTTCGTAAATTTTTGTTATAAATTAACAACAAGCTTGATCTTCCTCAATTTCGGTCTAGTCTCGCTTTTTGAGAATGACATTTAAAAAGTACAAATATTTACGCCATTGTCAATTTATCAGCGCGCGCAGATTTAATGCGTCCAGTGTTGCGGCCATTTTGTCTTGTTTTTCAATTCTTGTAAAACTTTGGTGCATCGTTACACGCTAGCGAAATTCAGGCAGTCATATTTTGTGCTGCATAAGATTAACAAAACCTTCCTTAGAGAGTGGTACCTATCTACACACTTGATCTATTTGTGTTGGAAGAATTCTAGGTCACAAAGCTTCCGTATTTTTCTGGCGTCCCCTTTGATGTTTTGGTGATTCGTTCAAGAAAACTGAATCATTTCAGTTCCCTCGTGAACAAAACGCCTCCACTATTAAATATGCTTCAAGTTAAATAACCGAAATCTGCAAATGTGATCATGGCAGAATTTGGGGAAAAAGACATGAAAGTGACAGATTCATTTTCTTTCTTGTGAGCAAGTTTACCTCGTGATGAAAAAAAAAAAAAATTTATATCGGTTTAAAATCAGATGCTAATCTCCAGACCTGCTGTCCTCTGTTAAAACACTTCATTGATATTTAAGCTTTTGTACATGTTATTTACGAGCAGTGACAGAGAGTTGACAGACTTGGCCAACAAATTTGTTGAATGAGCCGGCTCATTTGAAATGCAACTCTACACGATGAAATCGAAAGTAATTGTGAATATCACAAACAGAACATTCTGTCTTTCTGTCACAGACCCTACATACAGTACAGTTCCAAGTTTGAGGCCAGCCCTGTTAATTTCTGTTGGCCAAGTCTGGTAAGATATCGAAATCCAAAAGCAAATTGGGATAGCGAAAGTTGCTTTCCAGAAGCTAAGTAAATTTAAGCAATAAAATTTCTTTTGAAACAAGTAAGAGGCTATTGAACTGTTATGCAATATTCGACCTTCTCTCTATGGCAGTGAATGCTGGACAATCTCTTCACAGATGAAGAATAGATTTGGTTTCTTTTATTTTACGGCATATGAACCTCAATGGGTTATTTAATGCCGACAACATTTTTAGGATAGATTCGTATGAATAGAATATGTATTCTTTGGTTTAGATTGGTTTGGTTTATTATGTTTTACGGCATATGAACCTCAATGGGTCATTTAATGCCGACAACGTTTTAGGATAGATTCGTATGAATAGAATATGTATTCTTTGGATTAGATTGGTTTGGTTTATTGTGTTTAACGGCATATCAACCTCAATGTGTTATTTAATGCCGACAACATTTTTAGGATAGATTCGTATGAATAGAATATGTATTCTTTGGTTTAGATTGGTTTGGTGTATTTTGTTTTACGGCATATCAACCTCAATGGGTTATTTAATGCCGACAACATTTTTAGGATAGATTCGTATGCATAGAATATGTATTCTTTGGTTTAGATTGGTTTGGTTTATTTTGTTTTACGGCATATCAACCTCAATGAGTTATTTAATGCTGACAACATTTTAGGATAGATTCGTATGAATAGAATATGTATTCTTTGGATTAGATTGGTTTGGTTTATTGTGTTTAACGGCATATCAACCTCAATGTGTTATTTAATGCCGACAACATTTTTAGGAAAGATTCGTATGAATAGAATATGTATTCTTTGGTTTAGATTGGTTTGGTGTATTTTGTTTTACGACATATCAACCTCAATGGGTTATTTAATGCTGACAACATTTTTAGGATAGATTCGTACGAATAGAGTATGTATTCTTTGGTTTAGATTGGTTTGGTTTATTTGGTTTAACGGAATATCAACCTCAATGGGTTATTTAATGCTGATAAATTTTTTTATTGCTGGTAATATTTTGTTTTGTCAAAAACCTGTTTCTGAGAATATATTCCCTTCAAAATTGTATTGCTGGTAATAATTTTTTTCAAAAAACTATTGCTGTTAATAGTTAACTATTTGCCCATAGCTAGGACCCTAACAGGCGCTACCACTCCGGGTCAGGGTGGACCTGGAACACCAGCAATTAAGACGGGGTTCTACGCTCCTCAAAACCTCCTGATCAGACACCTTGCAGCTGAACGTTGTTTAACGTCTTACCCAGGACGCGGATATAGTTTAACGTCTTACCTAGGACGCGGATGTAGTTTAACGTTTTACCCAGGACGCGGATGTAGTTTAACGTCTCACCCAGGACGAGGATACAGGAGGTGCTCTCAAAGAACCCTCTGTGCGGTACTATGAAAAGCACCAAGGCCATTTGATATGCTTATACCTGGATCGTCTACGACAGCCTGTATAATGTGTTCTTCCTGGCCAGGCCTAAGAACGAGAACCATAGTTTGTAGTGTCACCGATCCTGTCCCAGCAACGCGACGATAAACAGCAGCAAAGGTTGAATAACTCTGCTGCCTTCGATCTGGAAAAGCAATCTGATACAACCGTGCAATCTCGGATACTATTCACGCGGCCGTATGTAAAAATAATATCTGCCTGATCACAACATAGATATCCCTCTATTGCTAAACGGAAAACCTCTCATTTAACTCAATACTACACACTTTAAGTGTTGAAGACAGGCTCGCCACAAATGTACACGAACGACAAATGTAAGCTAGTCTGCATGGCAACACAGCGCCATTTGATGTAAACTTTGTTCAAACTTAATGACGTAAAAATGAATGATTTGTCTACATATGTTTATATGGATTTTTGTCCTTGTTTTGGTGTAAGGATATCACCTCCAAAGATTCTAAAAGCAATTATATATATATATATATATATATATATATATATATATATATGTTATGAAATGGACAATGCCTGACAATTATTTTTAAGACATTTTTATATATTTTTTGTCGGAGGACGAATATTTTCTATAAGTATTTCTGGGATATTCAGGCCCGTAAATGTTATTAATACTGTTTCTTATAAGCAGAGCATTTACTCAAATATTTGAATCTATAAAAAGAATGTATAAACATAAAAATGTCTTAAAGTAATTGTCGGACTTTGTCCATTTCATAATGTGTGACGTCATTTGTTTACATTTGGATACGCATTGAGCAGATATGAAGGTACATGAGAGAATCATGGAAGATTGTAGTTTAAGGCAGTAAAATCGACTTTACTAACCGAACGATCCTCTGTGGCCGAATCGGTTAAGGCACATCAGGCTATATGACGGTTCCGTATAGGATACACGTTCTATTCCTGTCGGAGGACGAATATTTTCTATGAAAATTTCTCGGACATTCAGGACGGTAAATGTTATTAATACTGTTTATTACTGACCAGAGCATTTACTTAAATATTTGTATCAATATAAAGAATGTATAAACATAAAAATGACTTAAAATAATTGTCGGACTTTGCCCATTTCCTTATATATATATGTGTGTGAGTGTGTGTGTGGTAATCTACTGACAGACTGTTTCGCAGCTTCTCAGTAGACGTTCGATTGCTTCAAGACGGGAACGAAAGCCGACTGATTTGATATTTTACCTCTAGGCTATCGTCGCACGGCAGAAAGGAAGGGTATTTTAACGTTTTTCTCATTACGAGAACTCAATTCAATTTACTTGAAGATTATTGCTTAATAGCAGTAGGAGCCGCTGTTTTTTAAAACACCCTTTCCCTAGAGGGCTCAACCGGATTTCCTGGAGCATATATATATATATATATATATATATATATATATATATATATATAGATAGATAGATAGATAGATAGATAGATAGATAACTAGACTCGTTTCGAAAAACCCTCGAATTTTTGATTTGCTAATCAAATTAATCTCGAGGGAAAAAAAGGTTTTAAAAAAAGAAAGAGCTACAAACATGAACTTCTGCCGACAAAACATCGCACAGATACAGGTCTGAAGCCCAAAGAAAAAACCCCGATACGAGTAAACAACTAACTAACAAAAGAGCTCAATACAACCGTAGAGCAGACCTAGATAAACCTAGTGAACCAGACAAACCTACCCAGGTTTCACCTAAACGGATCGTCAGGGAAAGTCAAT